GCCCCTGCCTTGACGGGCAGAAAGTGGGAAGCAAAAATTAATTGGCCCAGATGTCATCACGTTAGCAGCAGAACGGAAAGATCGTCGCTTCCAGCCAAGTTACCGGTTTGTACCGCAGCAGCATTAATTCAGGGGGAGAGCAAATGACGCGCTATTGTGTTTAACGTTTACGCGGGTCTTTGCCGTTTCAGCCACTGTTCCTTCCATCTGCAGTAACGCAATCTACGCCTTTTGCTTTTTCCCATATCCCATCCCCTACCCGGGCTCTCTCGGTGGTCTTGGTTAATCCCCGTAACCGGGGGAAAGGGGCAACGCCTGCTCAACGCCGGTACGATGAGCAAACCCAACGATGAGCAACTAAGAGTAAGAAAGGTTACGTCTTCAAATCGTTACGGAGGTTGGCAGCGCAGCCTGTGCAAACAGACGAGCCATCAAAGAATCTTTCTATTTTACTGCCCAATGTGAGTAGGAGAAAGACAGTGTCCCCCTAAAAAAAAAATAGAAAATTCAAACAAATCTACAAAGACACAAACATCTGCCATCAAGTAAAAATAGGCAATGATACCTGAGCATATAGTAAAGAAAAAAATGCTATTCCTGTGAGAAGTCTAGCACTATCTATATTTAACAATTGTTTGCCAAAACAAAAATATCACAAGACCTTAATAGAATTAACTTTTGTTTGTTTGTTTGTTTTGTTTTTACTATATAGAACGGCAGAATAATTTAGGTTGGAATGGACCTCTGGAGATCATGTGGTCACCCCCACCCTCCCCACCGCCCCCTCTGGGTTGTTCCCAGCCTTGTCCAGTCAAGTTTTTGCTGTCTCCAGGATGTAGATACCACAACATTGCTTGGTCCCTGCTCCAGTGCTCAACTACATTGCAAAGAATTTTTGCCTCGTGTCTAATCAGAATTCCCCATGCTCTACCTTACATCTGTTGCTTCTTGTCCTTTTGTTGTGCACCACCAGGAAGAGGCTGGCTCCATCTTTTCTACAATCACCCATCTTCTATCTGAAACAGCACTCAGACCCCTCTCTCGCCCCCCACTTAATCTTCTTGTCCAAAAAGCGAACAAAACATTTTTTTTAGCATAGTGTTATACATCATATGGTTCAGCTCTAATCATCGTGGTAGCGCTCTGCTGGACTCCCTTCGGTACGCGTGCTGCACGTGTACGCTGGAGGCCCAAACCAGACACAGTTCTGCAGATGTGGTCGCACAAGTGCCAAAACAGAGGTGACGATCGGTTCCCTCTGACTGCTGCCTGTGTTCTTACCTGCCTCAGCTTGGGCTGTGGTGAGCTTTCAGCACCCCAGGGGCCCATCACTGACTCACGTCCAGCTTGTCCAGCAGTCCCTTCTCCTGCCAAGTCGCTTTCTTGCCCTGTCACTGACAGTGACAGGGGGTTGTGCCTCCCACCCCCCCCAAGGTGTAGGGCTCTGCGTTTGTCTTTGTTGAACCTAATGAGGTTCCTGTCAGCCCCATTTTCTAGCCCACTGAGGGCCCTCTGACAGACAGCCCTGCCCCTACTCTATCAATCACCTCTCTACACCCCCAGTTTGTTCTTACCCATGAATTTGCAACCCATCCCAACATCCAGGATGGTAATGAAACCCTTCAGCATTCTTTGGCTCAGTATTAACCCCTGAGGCCTGCTACTAGTGACAACCAACCAACTGGCCTGCAAATGGCTGACCTCAGCCCTCTGAGCCCTGCTGTCGAGACGGTTTTCCACCCACCTCACAGTCCACTCCTGGAATCCATAGCGCTCTGGTTTACTGTAAGAATACAAAAGCAGATGGTGTCAAAAGCCCTGCTAAGGTCAAAGTAAACTACACACTGCTCTCTGGTCAGTACCTGAGGGCAGTCGGTTCATCGCAGGAGGCAAGCCGGTTGGTCAGGCGTGGTTTCCCCTTGGTCAATCCGTGTTGTCTGGACATGGCTTCCAGGAGCATTTGTTCTATAATCTGCCTGGGACGGAGGCTGGGCTGAGCAGCCTGTAGTTCCCTGGGTCTTTCTTGAAAACGGGTGTTGCATTTGCCTTTTTCCGGTCCTTAGAAACTCTGTGCCCTGTTCACCATCATCTTTCACGGATGATAGCAGCTTTGTGACGATGCCAGCCTGCATCCTTGAATCCTGCCCAGCTCTCCCTGTAGGCTGGTATAGATCCAGGGCAAGTAGTCCCCAACTTGGGCTTCCTCTTATGTGGGTAGTACGTCACGCCTCAGACTCTGCCTGAAGATCTGAGCCCAGACCTCTCCAGTTAAAACCTGAAGCAAAGGCTTCACCACCCCTGCTTCCACAGTCTTTACACCCACCTTTTGGATTTGATTTCAGTCAGGAGTTCCCCATTCAGCCACCCTGGCCTTCTCCCACGTCTGCTCAACTTCCTGCACGCCAGAATGGACTGGTCTTGTGCTGCAGCTAGCTCCCCTGGGCCCTTCAGGGCAGGCTTCTGCCAGGTTCTGCTGACAGAATGGAGACAAAGTCTGCTCTCCTGAATTCCAGGGTTGCAGTTTGACTATTTATCTTCCTCACTTCCCTCAGAATCTTAACCGTTGCTATCTCGTAGTCACTGCTGCCAAGGCTGCAACCAATGTCAGTGTTCCCAGCCAGCCCGTCCTTATGTGTGAGCAGCATGTCTGGCATAGCCAGACTCAGCTTGTTGAGCATTCTGTCAAGAAACTGTCCTTGATGTAGTATGGAAATAGCCTGCATCGCTTGTGCCTCCACCGTGTTGCCATCCCAGTCCCCTCTACCAGAAGAAGAGCCTGCAGTTTTAAGGCTAAACTATGAATGTTTCGGGTTTTTTTTTTTCAGTCAACTACAAAATAAAGACTAAACCTGCCATCAAAAATCATATACTGAGAAAAACTAAATATCAGGAATTAGAAAAATACTTCCAGTTACTGTTTCCGAGTCAAAGAGAAGTAAAAATAGGTCACAAAAAAAGGCTAGTTTAGTGTCAGGAAACAGCGCTCTTACAGAACTGGCCACTTCCCAGTTGACGGAAAAGCCAAGAAATTGATTTCCTAGAAGTGCAGTGGGACTTCTGCTGAAGGGAAAGGGGAAGAAAGAAGATGCTTAGCGGGAGCCTTCATTCTTTGAGATACATAGCATATTTGCCTGAGCCCACAGCTTTTAAGACCACAGATGCTTTTATTCTGTCAGCATTGGAGAGCGAATTCGCACTACACAGGGTGGTGGAGATCAGAGATCCACCTCCAGTGTCTGAGTTTCTCTGACCCCCCACAGTCCAAATTTTTTCTGGATGCATCGACATTTGGTGGAGGTCAATGTCAATGTAGGTGGTTTCCCACAGCTGTCAAGAACAGACATGCTCTTCCTATAAGCTGCAACAGTGCACGTGCTGTAATAGAGAACGTACCAATTACTGGGAGAATAGGTTTAGAAAATAATGCCATCTAGTCTGTTACACAGTTAGCCGTCCTTAGGGTAAAGATGTTCATGATTCCTCAAAAGATCAACACTCCTGGAGAACACCTGAAGTGCTCGGCCCTGTGAACATAAAAAGACAAGACTTGTTAGAGTGGATGGTAGTTTCTCTGCTTCATCCTATGCCATCTTAGGAACAAAGCAGGTAAAGTGATTCAAAGGAAACTCTGTGGTATGTCGCAGGGACGGTTGGAAAAAATCCAGTGAAATATCTATCTAGGAAAGACAGCAGAGTGAGAAAGGCCAGTGATAAGGTCTTGGGTGTCGCCAACTCTGAGTGGGAATTACAGCTACCAGAAAAAGCTGGTTAATGAGTAACAAAGACCGAGCAATGAAAAGGGTTTGGTATTAGGAAACTACCCTAAGGAGGGCTGAGGGAGCGTTTCTAAGAAAGCGACCCTACAAGATGAGTCCTTGAGAGAGGAGTTAGATCACCGTTACTGCTTTCTTCACATCTGGATCATAGGACAGAAGGTCTGTAGTCCAGTTCCCTGCTCAAAGCAGGGTCAGCTCTGAGGTCAGACCAGGGTGCTCTGAGCTTTATCCAGTTTGGGTTTGAAAACATCAAAAGTTGGAGATTGCACCTACCTCTCTAAAGAACTTGTTCTAACGCTTGACTGTCTCCGTGGCAGGAAGGTTTTTCATCATATCCAGTCTGAACCTCCCCTGTGTCAGCTTACGTTCATTGTTTCTCGCCCTCCCACCATGCAGCACTGAAGAGTCTGGCTCTGATCTCCTAGCAACCTCCTCACAGGTATTGGCAGGCTGCTGTTACGTCCCCCTAAGTCAGGGCAAGTGGCGAGTTGGAGCCAGAGGTTCATTACGGTGCTCACACACTCACTTTGGGCTTCAATTTCTTTTCTTCTTTTCCTTTCTTGGTAACCTCATAAGGGATTCTGAAGGCCAGCCTGGGCCCAAAGGCCCTGGGCAGAAGCTGGAGATGGAGAAGCTGGGATCTTTCAGGCTTCATTGGCATTTAACTGCAGATGAATGGAGCTGGGAGTTGGAAGATCAGGAGTGGAGGCCATGGGAGTGAGTGGCCCAGCAATATGTGAGGGGAGAAGTAGAAGAGGCGTTGGAGAATTGTCTGTTAGGAGCGAAAGGTCCAGCACCAAGTCTGTTACGTACGCCAGGACCAAACACACGCTTGGCTTGTTCTAGGTTTAGGAGCACAAATGGAGCATTTCCCTTTGAATGTTTTCTGTCTTGGGAAGCATGCAGGCTCAGGTTGTGAAGCTGTAGGCCTCGGAAGGACTCTGCAAAGTAATACAAGTGAAAACCAGCTTCCTGCGCCTTCTTGGTGTCTCCTTGGTAATGAAGCAGCCAGCCCAGCGCGTTGCTATTACTGTTCAGGCTGTGTGGTCCAAACACAAATCATAAAGAGAATTAACAAGGAAGGAGTAACTCAAGGCAAGATTAAAAAGCAAAAACCAAACTCCCCAAAAAACATACCACGAAAAACCGCAACTGATTATGGGTCAAAATAAGAGAAAACTACAGAAAAAGGCAGGTCAATAGTTGCAATTTAAGAGTGGAGCTGACTGGAAGAGGGTTTTTTGTGTAGGTGGTTGAGAGTATCTTCAGAACTACAGCAACGGGCCTATATATTCTGCATCTGTGGTGGGAAAGGGTAAAGGACTGAGCCCAAGTAATCCTCTTCCAGAGACCTGTCTACTCACCCGTGACGCAGCTCTCCAAATCGGCACCGAGTAAACTTGCTGCTGGGGAGGGATGACGGTTTTTCTTCTGCAGTGATGCCGTCACCAGTCCCTCCTCTGCCTCGGTTGGGGCCAGGCTGGGAAGAGCAGACACAGACACGGGACTCACAGGGTTGCGCTCCCGAGTTCACCAGGCCATTCGTCTGATTTACACCAACAGGCCTTTATTCCTGTAGCATTCTGTAAATATACTTTGTTCATGCTAGGCAACTTTTATGAAAAACTAGTCTCCTGTGGTGTCCCATCAACCATGTTAGTGACTGCTCCAAGTTAATCAAGCCCAGATTTAATTTCAGAGCTAAATCTTTAAGGTTTGGGAAATGTGCAGAGGGGCAGCTGAATGTTGTGGACCATCTCAAACCCCTGCTGGGGTCCTTACCCTCAAATCGAGTTCTCCTGGATCCCGATTGCTATTTCTGGCAAGCTACCCTACAGCTTCCCTTCTCTCTTCTGCAGGGAGAGCAGATTACAGACTAGAAGTAAGTATTTCTGCATGCCAGCCATAAACAACAAAAAACCACGCACAGAAGAACACTGCCCATGTCATCTGTCATGCATTACAAAATAAGGGCAAGAGCGTGCACACCATCGACCGTGGATTCTGCAGTTGAAGATTGGTCCCTACCTGCTGCTGAATTATCAGCTTTCTCTTTCTTCTGCTCAGGAAAGGATGTTTTAGAAGAGTTCTGCACTTGTTTTGAGTGGTAGCTTTCAAGAGGTACTCCAGGAGCAAAACAGCATAAAAAATTTGCATGAAATAAACATTCTTGTGTTCCGAAGTCTGGATCTGTTGTATGAATCTCCTCCAAATATTTCTGGAATCAGTATTTGGCATTTCTTCCAATTGTGAGTCCTGACAGATTTGGAAGAGTAAAACAGATACTGGTTGCAGACAGCAACGACTTTTCTTCTAAAATAAATATTTCTGTGGTAAAAACAGAAGCATAAAAACTAGAGTGCAGTGAATAAAAGTTACAGTGTGATCTGCTTCCCTCCGAAACGGGTGGTATTTAGAGCACGTTAGATAATATGAGCACGAGAGTCCTGCTACGAGCAAAATACTTGTTGCATAACCAAAAAGAGGGTGGGGGAAACCAGCTCCAAATGGAGAACAGCTTGTGAGGCACTCTAACGAACCTGCAAGTCCTACAAAATGTCTCAGTCATATTTGGAAAATAAATATAGCGGTCTTCAGCCTTTGCTGGCCATGGGCGATGATGGCAAGCAACTAATAACTCATGCCTGCAATATTCCATTTTTTTGGCTGTGGCTTTAATTTCTAATGGCTGCTGGAAATAGGAAAGCGTCTTACAAACACGGTGTCACTCTCCAGCCACGCGTGGGGACCACCGTATCAGATGAAACTTCAGTATCTACTGCTACTTCATGATGTTCGTTTTTTTCTATGCCAGGAAAGATAAACTGAAGAGTAAAAAAAAAGAAAAAAAAAGTTTTCAAAATATAAGCAGCTCAGACCCAGGCACAAATTGGACAGTAAAGGGGATGTTCAGGATTAGCTCCTGCCACGTGCATCAGAGCATGCAAGGCATTACACAAAAAGCTGTTTACCTAGAAGGCAAAATTTTCTTCCTTCGATGTGTTTCCTGTAACGCAGGCCAGCTTCATCTCCACTGCCAGTTCTGAGTGTATGCATACGAAACCACAGCTGGCAGCCCAAATTTCTTGCTTTTAAAAAAGATCATACCTTAATTGCAAGCGCCTTCCCCGCAGCATGTCCATGACTGAGGCTCCAGATACTTCACAAAAGGAGCAGAAAAACGTACGTCTTCCCCAGATTGGCAGAAGAGGTTTGCTGCGAGAGAAAGAACCGGCGAGCCTCTCTGCAGAGCTGACAAGCCAATGAACAATTTAAGTCTCACTTGATCTGTAATTGGAACAGGCTTTACACAGAACAAGAATCTTAATGCCTGGATAAAAGTTGCATTTTTAATATTAACAATGATAAAAAGACTGGTTATAAATTTGTACTGCCCACTGAAGTGAGAATTCCTAAATCTGGCAGCTCAAGCAAAGTTAATTCTTACACTGACAAGGAATGAGAAAATGCATTCAGCTGAGCAAAGGAATTTTAAAATGATTTGTCAGTGCAAAAACCTCAGTAGCTGATTGTCGCACGTCTCCTGACGTGTAAATACAGAAATATTTTAGACACGAATGCCAAAAATAATCCCAGAGCGATCCAGCCCTGCAGAGGGAGCCGGGCACATCTCCTGACCTACCGGTCGAATTCTCAGTGCCGGCTGCCTGCACAGCCTCTCTCGGCCTCTGGAGAGAAGGGCAAGGGCAGTCTTGCCATACACACCGGCTTGGCTTTGCAAAGATAAATAATGACAAAACCCATCTGTTTCTTACAAACATATAAATTATTTTATTTACAAAGCCATGTTACAAAAAAAAATAATAATAATAAAGCAAAAAACAAAAAATACAATCGCTCACTAGAGAATATCTCCAGGCCCGGTGCTGAACCATGGCAGTATCAATCAGATACATGTTTGTTCTGTTTTTCCTTTTTTAAACTGTAAGCCATAGAATTTACTATTTACACCTACTTTAGACATTTATTCTGCTTACAATTATCACAAGCATGGAATGAATTCTATTTGATACTGCTAATACATAAAGGTGCAGGACAAAGAATGAAAATACTTAGTGTTACAAAATATGGATTGTAGAAAAGAAATTGGCTGTACAAGTATGGCATTTTTTTTTTTCTTAGAATGATTGGACATGCTTTCTTCAAAAGTCTTCTGGAAAAGGTTCTAAAATCTGTAGTAGGAAAGCACAATAGAGCAGGTGCAAATTCATTTCTGTGCAACAACAGTTATTTAATATATCCCATGACTGACCAGCTATGCAAAACCCACAGAGTTTTGTTAAGGTGCCATGGGTCAACAGCATAACAAAATATAAGGTGTAAATAGAAAAATTTCTTTTTTTCTTCTTTTTTTTAAAACAATAGTTCACTGAGAATCAGCAATAATAGAATATGCTGTATAAACTATTCTCTACAAAGGTCGATCAGCACTATTTACAATTGTTACATCGATACAAAAGAAGGCATACAAGTTATCCAAGTCGCTTTTTATGGCTGACGGGCCTATGCATTGCGTATGTGTAACAACCAAAGCTTCTGAGCCTCTATTGCTGGAAACAAATCACAAGGTTTTCAGGCAAATGGGGAAGAAAAAGAACTACCGCGTGAATGCTACGCTAATAATGCATTATAGGCTGGTCCAGTTCGTATCCGTTTTTTTCAAATGTTTACTTCCTTTTCACTTTTCAGGCTGAAATTTTTGATAGAGATAATTAAATAATGATTCTCCGACAATGAAAGAACACTGTGGGATTTTACTTGGTGCTTAACTTTCCTGAAATGCTGTCTGGTGTAAGCCAGTTGAAAAAAAAAAAAAAATTTAAGCAGCATTCAAAGGACAGGCTCCATATTCCAGCTTTCCAATTAAAAGATGCAGG